TCCCACGTTGCAGTTAGGCTGCACTCCTTTATCAGAGTCTTTTTCTTTGTGCTTCTGTAGGTCGGACTGCTTTGATGGCTGGGACCTTCTGCAGAAGTGCAGAGGGTGACCTACAAGCACTGACTAGTGGACGTAGTTGTCCAAGCCTGACCATAACGTGATTTTTGTCTGAGTAGCAGGTGAATGTAAATTGGAAACAATGATGCGGCATAGAATGAGGATCAAATGAGGAATCTGCAAGGAAGTTGGGATCTATGTCTCAAAATAGAGGCAAGACAAAATACATTGCTTTGTGTTGCAGGCTGTGTTCCATGCAGCTTTTATAATGCATTTCCCTTTCCAGTAAGAAGCTGTCATGCTGGGCACAGAAAATCAGGATCCCTGCCTGTCTGTAACTGAAAGTAGAGAAGGGGTGAAAAGAAAATACCAGAAATGTAATTCAATCAGGTGTGGTCAAAAGCAAGGTCTCAAAGAAAGCCCTTGGGTCAATTTAACACAGAATGGAAGGGCTACAAAGTTTGGAAGTCTCCCTGCGACTTAAATTATAGATGGTTTCCAGGAGTTTCCTTAATAAAATTTGTCTAGGGAGAAAATATTGGTGTCAGTGAGGGGAAAAATCTGATTCACGGAAAATGGAAAAGAGAAAGGCAGCTTCAACCAGGAGTTAGTCATCAATCTATTTCTTAGACAGAGTCTTGGCAAAACCCATTCTCCTGGTAGAACTTGCCTGGAGTAGACCAGATTGATTTGACAGTCTCTTAGCCTAATAAATGCTTGACCTCAAGGTCTGCTGAATTCACTAAATTCACTATGCAGAGAGAATTGGGAACCAATCACCTCTGGGGAACATCCTGTTCTGCAGCCCTCCCCTGATAAAGGCCTTGACTGCTTTCAGCCTTATCGAGATGACTAGATGAAAGCTGCTCTCAGAAGAAGAAAGGTTAATCGACTACGCTGCTGTTAATCAATCACTTGGAAAGATTCAGCACTTACAATAGGTAGGTCCCTCTTCCTGCCAGGAGGTTCTTGCATGTTAACCGGGGACCATCTCCTCCGGTTTGAAGGAAGAGTAACAGACAGGAACACAATCCAGACAGATGCCAGGTGTCTGATCCAAAGCCAGCTGAAGTCAATAGAAAGACTCCTAGTGAGTTCAATGGGCTTGGATCAGACCCCGGAGAAAGACTTATTATCCAAGGTTTATTCTGCATACGGGTATCGAGCTACTTTTAGTAGTGAAGGATCCTTGAAAAGAAGCAGATTCATCATGCTTTTGCCTCCCTGTGAAATCAAACTTCTTCAAATCATACTGTGTCCCATTTACTCTGATTGCCACATATGGCTGACATCCAGCAAAGGAAAATTACCTGCCTGTGACAGCACAGACAGACACGTATACATTTCAAAATCTCTCAAGAGTACAGAAGGAAAAAAATGCCAAACTGCTAATGTTTTCCTGGCCTTTTTGTAATTGCCGCTAGCCAAAATGATAGCTTTCTCAGAAGAGGAAAAGCTAGACCAATGTCTGAAAGCACAAAGGAAAATTGAGGGAAAAAAATGAAAAAGATGGAATTAAAAGGATTCTGCCATGAAGAAGAGCAAGCTCAGTGCTGAACAACGAGCAGCATGTAAGGTGAAGCTGACAAGAGCCTGAGCGAAAAAAAAAACAGAAGAGGAAAAGGCACCCTTAGAAAGTGCCCCTGAGGATTAGGTATTCCTCCGAATTAACAGCTGTATTCAGCCCCAGCATCAGCAGATGACAAAGCAGGCACTATCCTGTACGCTTGTCTAAATGGATGTGGAGAGTCTCAGCCTGTTGGTACAACCCAGGCCCTCATCTCACAGCGCGGAACCACTTGGTAACTCACCTGCTGCACCACAGAGCCAACAAGCCATACGGAGAATGGCTGAAACCAAGAGATACACACCTTTAGGACACCTACAGCTACATGTACCAGTTCACAGTTTACTGCAGTGTCTGGGGCAGACTTCTGCTTCTTCAAGGTGCTGCTTGTAGTAGTTTCTCACTACCAGCCGCACCCGAGGCGGACTCCTGGCTGAAGTTATGCCAGCCTCTACTCCTCTGGCTCTGTCTGCTGCCAGAAGGCTTCAGGCCGCTCAAAGCCTGGAACAAAGCTGGTGGCTTGAAATTTTTGCTTTAGGAATAACCCAGTTTTCACTAAAGGCAGATACCTGAAGTGGAGAATGACAGACTGGTACGACGGACTGTACCTGTCCTAGCTAGCGAAGAGGCGCCGGGTCCTTCAGAGGGCTGGAGAGCAGTCCAGATGCAGTGGCTAGTCTCTGCTCGTCTCAAAGTTCACTACAAAGCATCCCAGGCAACGGATCTTTCCTCCTTATGCAGTGACAACAAGCAACAGATCAGTGAAAGAGAATGACCTCAGGTGCACTATATGCATGATTTCTGCGTGCTCCAAGCAAACGCTTTATCTGAGGAAGGACAGCCATCATAAACGTAGCCATGTTCTTCGCCAGTAAACAGCTGTGGTTGCCAAACCAATTCCCTAGTCTTCTCATCGCTGGCTGGAAAAAACCTCAGCAGACAGATCCTGTGTCTACATCCAAAAGGAAGGTCTCATCTTTGGTGAATTTTTTCCCTTTGGCTCAATCGATAAAATAACCAGCACTGCAAGCAAAGCAGGGTAGATATTAAAGAGTGAGGATGCCTGTCTGTTCCATAAGGAAACCTGACAAGAAATTCCACGTACAAAACAAGAACTAGATTTAAGAGGTACAGCAGCAGCTTCTTTCCCAGAGAAGACTTTGGTATAGCAGCCTTATCAATCTGAAAATTTCAGCCTAACTCCATAGTTATGTGTAATGTGCATTGTATCAAAATACACAAGCGGCAGTCCTCTAAGCAGCACTCTGCTGTCAGAGCCTAGAATCTGTTGTCTATAACCCTTTTAACAAAATAATGCCAAAAGTTATCAACCTGCTACGATAAATGGGAATACTCTGTGGCTTTCCAGGTCTGGTTTTATGTTACTGCAGGTGCAGATTGATGGAAACAGTGCCTCGTCTTCCGATGTTTGAAACTGGATTTTCACAGCCATGACTTCTCTTTTTGAACAAGATTCTGTTACTGTGTACTTCACCGTACTGCAGTAACACCAGCAGGTCCTGTTGTGTTTGCCATTCTACTGGCACACACCGAACCACACTCCCCTGCAGTTCTCTTGCCAGTGGTGGATCCCGCTGCAGCCACAAAACTGAGAAGAGATCCAGAAAAAGCGATATATTAGATCTATGACTATTCATCCCTTAACCCATAGGAGATGAGCGTAAGGCACCTGCAGCTCAGTACTAGTGACCAAGCGCAGAAGTACAAAGGTTACTGCCTAATCAATTTTTCCCCCTGTTGTCTGGAACAGTATCCTACAAGGCTTAACTGTGCAAACTTGGTTGCACTGAAATGCAACATCTGAAGACAAAATCTCTTCTGTCTGAAAGGAATGCCAAGAGGGATAGCAGAGAAACGGAAGGAAAAGTCTGAGTGCTTTATCGACCCGACTGACATCCTATGAAGAAGGTAAGCAATAAAAATTTATTGAGAAATAGAAAAGTTCTTACTTAGCCTCATCACTGCCCCCACCCAACTGTTAATGCCACAGACAAATGCAGAATTCCCTTGAACCACATATTTAAAAATCTTGCAATTTTATTTGCATATAAAGGCCGCTAGATATAATATCACAATAAATTTAAAGAAACAACTGCTTTTCTAAATTCCATTAACAAGGTAACATAAAACAGAACAAAGCTCAATAGCATTTACACTGGTAGAACAGAAATAACTATCTGCAACAATATTTTGTGCTAGCGAGATTGCATTTACACACAGTGCAAAATAAGAAAAAGGAAATAAAAAGACAAGAAGAATATTTAAATATAAAGGACAACTAAGCCTTATTTTAGTTAGGCTTGATTGTATCCATTTGAATCTATACATGCCTGAACTACGACAAAGATTTTACTCAGGCTCTTGAAGGCCTTGAGCACTTGGAAAATGTGTCACATCCTTCATAATTTAGATGTGCTGTACAGCATAATTTTGCAGATGCTATACTGGCAATATTAAATCCTAGCTTAGTTATAATGCACAAAAAATACATATATATATAAATTCATATTTAAAAGGAGTCCGCATTTACATTTTTTTTTTTACTGCATGAAATACCTGCTCTTTGCAGCTTTCACCCCCAGTCTTTTAAAGCTAAAATAATTTAAAAACAAACAATAAAAGGTAGGTATCACATATAGACCGTGGCTATCTCTATCAGTCTTTAATGCATAAAGCAGGTAGAGACAAACAACTGAGTCGTCTGTTCTCCCCTTGCTGCATTCTACTGTTAACAGAAGCAAGTTTCAGTACATGCACACGTATTAAGAGGTAAATGGACCCCAAACTATTGTTTGCGCTACTAAAAAAATTTCATATAAATGGAGATGAAAAGCTAACATTTAGACCTAGGGAAAAAGAAGACATTTAAAAAACCCCGACAATAACATAAGTTGTGCAAATTTGGGTGTTTTTAAATGCTGCCTACTTTTTAGCTTATAATATAATATTAAAATAAGGTCTCTCACTTATTAAAAGAAAGCTTGGCTGTCCTTTTGAGAACACTATAACAATTTACAATGGCAAATTTCTTGAAAAACAAAATTCATTTTACAAATTCACAATGCTTTATCAATTTAAAATGAATGCTGCATTTCCAAAAAAGCACAACCTCTAACTTTTCTTCTTGTTTCTCTTGTACCAGCAATTTACAAAAAAAACAAAACCAAAAACACCCAAACCCCAACAAAACCAAAACCCAAATGCCACCCCAAAACAAAACCCCCAAGGTTCCCCCAAATTCTCACCAGCCCCCTCCCCCCCAATTTTGAAATAAGCATGTAACAGAATGTAAGTTTTGTAATTAGAAAATGGCAGTTTATAGACCTTCCCCAAGTTCCAAATGTGCAGTAGTGCTTCATGATCCTTGAGGGGTTGGAAGGTCAAATATAATTGGAGGGTTGGTTGGTTGAAAGCTGACCGTACACGTTGAAGCATTGATGTACGTTGTGTAACCGTCTGTCATAATGCCATAACCTGTAGGGAGAACGCGTCACACTTACTGTAACATAAACAAACGATACTGCCCGTGGGCAGCGGCACTGAAAGCTTGTTGTGGGATCAATGCTTTGGAATAAAATCAAATTAATCCCTTCAAAACCATACAAGCTCTTGAAAGCTGCCACAAAGGCTTGATTGAAAAAATACAATGTACTGTATTTGAAATAAGAACTGATGCTTTTGATTTATGTACAAACTTTTTTCTCCCACGGAAAATCTCTGTTGCAACTGGATATAGCAGTAACAGAGACAAAACCACAGATGTACTTTTTCTAATTACTTAATTAGAGAGCTGTAGTTTGTACGCCTGTAATGTCTGACATAACAAAAAGACCAACCAGGAGCAAAAGACTTAGAAGTAACTTTGGTTTTGCCTACTAAAACCCTTCTCTGGGCAACAAACCGAACCCGGTAAGCCTTCCCCATGCTAGCCCTTATCATCCAATTCCTCATCACAGCACTGCCAAGCCGAAGCTCACGCTGGCTTGTGAAACCTCAGAAACTCGTTAGCAGGTTAAAAATATACATACATATGTATTTACTTTATAAATGTGTATGTTGTCTACCAGTGAAAATCATGACCAAGGAAAGGAATCTCCTGCTATAAACACAACAGAGCACTGGAGGTTAATGGATGACCCCAGGCTTAAGCAGAAGGTTAAACAGATGACTGCTTTTCATTATGAAGGGATCTTGATAACTCGTTCCCAAATAACAAAGCAAGCAGCAGCAAATATTAATCGCAGGTATTTCGGCATGCCAAGGGCTTGAACTCTTCAGTAACACTACAGTTTGAGGATGCTGAAGACTGTTCTCAACCTTCTAAACATTTGTCCAGCAACGCTCTTGTTCAGAGCGCGCCTGAGGAACTGGCAGCAGTGCTGGCTCTCTGCTGGCCTCTACCTTCTCTCCCGCTTGCCACACAGGAATAGGATGTAACAGGGGGTTGTGCACTCCCATAATTCTGGGCAAATGGGGCAAACTATAAGGACCCATGAACTGAGCCACACCTGAGCCTTGATGCAGCAAATGTGATTGAGAAAACCAGTAGCAAAAGCATGGAGATACTGAGAAGGCAGCAGCTCTCCTCTTAGGATCAGGAGGTAGCAGCTCCAGTTCCACCAGTGCAAACAGTGAGAGAAAGCCCTGCTATTGTTGTCAGCTGACATCCATAGAAAGCTAATAAAGAAGCAAGAAAACATCTAGGAAGAATTTAGCACCAAATGTACTTTTTTTTTTAAAAAAAAAAAAAAGAGAAAAACACCCAACCAAAAAACCACCACCAACAAAATAAAAAAAAAAAACCACCAAACAAAAAAACACATCAGAGCTTCATGGAGGAAGACAACTTCCCATCACTAACCCACAGGGGAAAAATGTTTTTCTTTAAAACCATTATGATACAGTACAGATCACTGCTGTCTGAAAGCTCAGATAAATACAGCTACCCACAGTGTCTATCAGAAAGAATAATCACTTCAGAATTGCTGCACTGTCCGCCTGTATTACTTTATTTATTTAGACTGGCAATTTTGATTTAGATCATCTCACGGTGGAAAAAAACTTTGTTTGCGGTTGTTCTTGTTTATCAAGCAGGAAAAAAACCTGCAACACCTAAATGTGTGTATAGGCTCTGTTGATTTAATGGAACGTGGTGCATGTTCATCTCTAACTGGAGTTGGACGGGAATTAATTGCATGGGAAGAAAATGCTCTCAACACTTGGCTGTTTCTTTCTGTACTGAAAGAAGCCGTTTTTATGTCTTATGAATAAGTACTAAACAGAATTTTAACTTTTTTGTTAGTGTTCTAGTAAGAATGTATTTGAACGTTCACTTTCAATACATGCTACCACCCTTCCTATAAGATTTAAATGTAAGGTGCTGCACGTGGTTACTCAGTGCTTTCTCATAATAATGATCTTACATATTAACATACCTTCCTCTCCCATCATTCAACAGTACTACAACTAGAAGTTTCATCACCCAATGTGCCTACAAATGCTGTAGACAATTTACATGTTGTAGCTGGAAGTCCTGCTGTATTCACTTGTTCTTGAAATGCAAAGATTAATATTTATACAAAATATCCAGTCTTTTCCTGGGTGCATTAAAAGACTGCTATTCATGCCACCATACTTAAGGTCATGTCAGTATTTCCATTATAAACTCTTTATTTACAGATACCAGGCATGAAACTCATGGTATGAAGTCACAAGGGCTGCAGAAAAACCAACAACACTAGTTGAGAAAGCTGTCTTTTTATTTTTCTTTTATGAACTCCTCTAAATACTTAAGCCTATGGAGAACCTAATTAGAGTCAATGGAGAAACCTCTAGGGGAGACAATATAAAGCATTTAATGTGCAATTTTGAGTTCTAGGGTCACAAAGTCTTACACTCTCTCTCAGGCAGAACTCCTAGTGTTTGTCTCTCAGCCACATGAAAGCTACAAAATTGTATTAAATATTTAAGTATCTCCAAAATGGATTCAATCTCTCACTCTCTTCCACTGCCACAAACTGAGCTTATTGTTTCTGAAGCTTCACACTCTGCCTGATCTGGTACTGACAGTGGGGAAATATCTCCTCTGAAATATGAGACTGCTGAAAGGTAACATACACAGTACAAACTGTATTACAGGATGCTTCCAGAAATGAATGCAAAGTGAGTTCTGGCAATCGCTCCTCCTGACGTCTGACTCAAGATGCCCTCCTTTCTGCTCTTCCTTATACGCTAAGGGAGGTGCGCTGAGACAGTACGTTGCCTTGGATTCTCCTTTTTTTCTAGCACCTTTCTTGGCTCCTAAGCTTGGAATAATGGGGATAATTTTCATTTTGGCTTGCAAGTGTGGAGAATCTCATCTGTTTCTCTAACCAAGTTTGTCAAAATTTGAATTGCTTTCAAACAACCTGCATAGAACAACCTTTGCACAGTGAAAGATGTAGGTGGCTAAATGTAGTGTACAGTCCTGAAACAGTCTGTTTTAATTCTGGCATAAATTTACAACTGCTGTGGATGTAAGCTCTTCCCTCAGTTCCCTCCCTACTTTAGTTCAATATTCATATATTCAATATCCAACCTTTGCAACACACCAGTGAAACGCGCTGCTTTGAAACCAGCCTGAGATTGAGGAGGGGAGCAGCGCTCCTTACCTTCATGAATCCCACCGAAGACATGGAGTTTGGGCCTCACTCGCCTCTGCACCGTGTTCAACAGCTCCACACAACCCACTCTCTGCAGCTCCTTTGGAACCCAGTCTCGAAAACCTGAAGGCAAAATGCGATCAATACTATTAATTTTCTCTATTCAGGTAAGGTTTCACATAGTCTTTCAGGAAGTCATAATTCATGGAAAGTTTATTACATTATCTGTAGTCATAACCTCTCCATTAAAGCACACAATGGCTTTTAAGAAATGTGTCACTGTCACTTTGTCTTCCTTAAGATTTCCTCCCTCCATCTGCATTAATATTTTCTGGATGTGATTTGTTTTTTTTAAACTACAGGTTTCAACTCACCTTCCACTTTGAAACCCTGGGACATTTATTCCCGGCACCGCTGCAGATTTTTCTCCCCTTTCCCCTGGCTCTCACAGCAGTCAGCTTCCCAAGCCAGCTACATGGTTACTCCAGAAATGAAACACCTCAGGAAGATGAGCTGATCTATGACCCCACACCTCTGCAACCCCAAAGATCTAAAATACAGCCTCCCACACCTTCAGAGGACCAGGGTCTGCAAGTGCCAAGTTACTGCTGAGCCCCCTCGGTCACCAGCCACAAGCAACGTAGCAAAATAGCTTCCAACAAGCTAGTGCTAATTGACTACGCTGCCCTCAGTCCTACAGACAATACAGAACGACACACAAAAACCCCAACATCAGTGACTAGAGAAGTCTGCTGCCTGGACTAGTCCTGGTAAGCATCAGCAGGGCAAGAAGAATGAGGAGGAGCAACAGGGAAATCGGGAGCCGCATCCAACTGTAGCATTCAACTGTAGCACTTTAGAGTAATTACACTCTGTGCCAGGTTTATCCCAGGTAGTAAGAACATGTTGTGACATGAACTTGACTGAATTTTGGAGACAACAAAGCATCCAGTTACAGCTCTACCTCCCTTAATATTTACATAATTTAAAAAGCAGCGTTTTGTTAATATTATCATGCAGGCTCAGACCTAGACCCTCTCCTTTTAGGCACAGTACTAACACCTAATCTGTGTCTGTAGTTAAATACGGTGCCAACCTTTTGAAATTGAACTTCATTATCTCCATCAAAACCAAAATTTAAGTATGCTTATTCAATTACAGCACTCATTAGCGTCTGCAGCATCACAGTATTTCCATACGAACCCAATTCAGAGCAGATGGATTAGCAACCTATTTAAAATAGCACCCATGAAACATTTTAAACATGCTTGTGGGGTTTCTTGCTTCTTTGGGAAAATAAACAGATTAAAAGAGCACTATTCAAAGCGTTGGTTTTCAATATCCGGTGCGCTCCCCTGTCAGTGGATGGTATATCACTGCTGTAGAAAAGCAGCGTGCTGGTAGCTCTAGTAAGATTAAACAGAATTTGCAGACCATCTTACAACATTCTCTTATTAAAAGTGTACCCAGGATATAAAAGGAGTGGTAAGTACATCCATCACCGGTCAAAAACTTTCTAGACTTTATTTTTTTCTTCTTAGCTCTGCTTGGATTGCTGACTCTTAACTTAATTGTGGTACAAAACATAAGCAGGCATTAATTCCTGACTCCACAGTCACTTGAGAAGCTCTATGAGAGCACTGAGCCAGCCTGGTAGCATTCAAATGCTGTTTTATAAGGGCACCTTGCAATTCTGGGAAGTTTTTTTAATATTCAATACCATCTCAAAACTCAGTGATTTCATGTGATCATCTGATGATCTGACCCCTTGGATTTCAAGAGCATACTAAAGCCCTGACAAAATCAGTCCACTAACAATAACGGTAATGAAGAAGAGACTGACACACTTTCTTACCCTGACAAGCTGTATTTATAAAAGGCAGATGCTCAGTTGTTGAAAAACCAACTGAAACATTTAAAATATGGTCCTAGACTGCTTGCCATGTGTGTCTTAAAGAAAAGCAGTAAATAATATGCAATGCTATCTCGTGGGGTACAGGATAGGGAAGAGATAGTAGGAATTTTCAAATGGTTTTAGTGTGTGCTTTAACGACTTTATAGATGCACCAAAACTGAGTACTCCTGCCTCTGCTGAATGATCATTTTAGTATCTTTTTGAGACCATTAGAACTTCGAATTAAAATGGGGATCATTGAATTACATTTACAAGACAAGCAAAATTTAACTAAATGAAAAACTTTAACTAATTGATAAAAGTAAATTATGCATTCATATACTTGTGCTCACCTGTCATTAGTTTGAGCCAGGAATAATTATCTGAGAGCATAATTTTATTCATTCACAAACTTGCTATAAGCCAATTAATATCTTTAAAACTCCTGTTATATGTTCTGAGTTTACAAGGACATTATCAAGGCGAATGCGTGACTACATACTCCTGAAGTCTTGACCGAGTACTCTAAAACCTTAAGAAAACATATCATTGCAGTGGAAAAATGTTTCAGAAGTTTTAGTCAATCTCCAAAAAATCATACGGGACTGGAAACTGTTTCTCAGGTGAATACTGCTCTTAAACAAAATGTCAAGCTATAATGGCTATGGAGTCAGATATTTGATCTTCCCTATCTTAAATTTAACAAAAAATTTAGTTTTCATTAAGAAAACACCAGCAAGCTCAACAGATCTGCTAAGCCTAATCATCGCTTTGCCCTTCTTCCAAAAAGACTTTTAAATTCATAGTTCTGAGTTAAGGTGCAATTACAATATCACTATAAGTATTATTAGTTTTGCTTATTTTGAAAGTAAAATTCTCATGTAAAAAATGAAACACAGCTTTTGTTTCACTTACCAAGGGGAGGTCCATGTGTCATTAGTATATCAATTCCCTCAGGAATAAGGTTCCACTTGTCTAGCAAAGACTGACCTCTGGGTAGGTTAAAGCCCCATCCATTAAACCACGGTGTCCTTCGGGGGAAAATAAGATGAACTGCATCAGTGTAAAATAAAAATCTCTTCCCTTTTCCAATTTTTCTGAATTAAAATAATTTCCGTACTTCAGAGACTACTTGCAGATGGCCTTTTTGAAGGGGATGTTGCTAAAACAACCTGCTTCAAATGCACACATACACTGATCCATATGTTCGAATTTAGATTAATATCCCATGCTCTTTTCGTACAGGTGTATTCAGCCCCGGGGCTGTTTATCCACCAGAGAGAAGGGAAAAAAGTTAACATAACACAGACTAAATCTAAAGCGTTTTTCCCCAAATTTGGGGATGTTCAAACATAAGAACTCCTTCCCTATGTTACGTACCAAACCAAACAAAGATCTCGTAAGTTTTTGGAGGCAAGAGACGATTTCTCGCAGCACAAGGCAGGTAGTGGGTAACAGCTCAAGGCAAAGGCTGCGTGATGCTGCGGTTATAAGCACCGGCCGTACCACGGTGTTTCACTGAATGCAAACTTGCTCCTTTTAGCACTTGTAATATCAGAACATTGTTGCATAACTCGGCTTTGAACTCCTGAGCCTCCCACAGGTCTTCATCACACAATGTTTAGCCTCAAGGTGACTTTTTTAAAGAGATCTTATCATTTAAAATTCACTTCATATTTCTTAAGGAAAACAGAGATCCTCAGTCTCCACCATCACAGCACAGCGTTATTCCGAGACATGGGATTATCCATCAACCCAGCCACATAGTAATGAAAAGCAGACCTTCCATGAGTACTTTTTCAATGTCTAACAGCCAAACTGAATCATTTTCATGCAGGTATATTACAATAAAGCCTTTCCTTAGCAGGTAGGTACATGGAGCAATTATTCTGAAGAGATACTATAATATTTACACCTGTTACTAACAATTTATGCAGCTGTTAGTGTTGTACGAATTTTAAGAGTTTTCATCGATGTGTGTGTTTCCTAGAGCTCAGGCAACAGATTTAGACTTGGTTGCTTCATTCTCTAGGTAGGGGGGCATCTTTCTCAGAGTTCAAGCTACTCCTGCAGTTCTGAAATTGGGGGAAAAAACTAACCACAAACCAACCTTAAAGAAAAGCATACCTGTTTAAAGAGAGAGACATCATTAAGAGACCTACATCATTTCATTATGTAATCTGCCTCCTGCACCCTTGACATTAT